CATGGACGGCAAGCCCCCATTGTCCCCAGTGGTGATGTGTGCACATGTCCACACTGCCATTAGGGACAGCCCTTGTTGTCCCCAGTGGTGGTGCAGCCATATGCACATGCACATGCCAACACTGGGGACAATAGAGGCTAATCTGAAGCCCCATTGTCCCTAATGGTAGCATGGCCATGTGCATTCACTACCATTGGGGACAACAAGACTTGAGGTACCATGGAGTTTGGTATGTGTGGGGGTCTGGAATGGTTTTCCTGTGGGTACCAAGGTCTCACTGTGCATCAAATACTAAAAGTCTTCAATTGTCTATCAGCTTAAGCCTTGCCATATTTAAATCATTTTTAAAAATGTATAGTTTCAGTCTCTTGACCATGACTTTAGCCATTGTTTCCTTTTGACTTTAACACTGGCTAGCATTGTGTTAGTGAGTTATACAGATGTAAGTCCACCTTAAGTCTGTGTGACTCTTTTTTTCTCATTGTTGCAGAGGTTAGAATCCTGTATCTCCCTCACACTATGATCAAAATTTCTTCTATTTGTCCCTGACATGGTCATTGCTGAAAAGTGGGGGACATCTAAAAGACATATAATCCTTAGGACCTCTGGAAGACCCCTGGGAAATCCTACAAAATACCTTTATCATTGTGTGTTTGGCTTTAGGGACCATAGCCAGATACTTCTCAAACATTCCATGATTTCCAATAGCTAGCTGTGGTGGAAGCAGAAAATATGAAAACAGATGGGTTTACGGGGGGGGGGGGGGGGGGGGAACGACAGGAGATGTGGTTTTATTCTACCTGCCATTTTCTGTTTGCCAATCCTGGACATTGTCTTAGCTGCAAGTAGTATGAACCATCATTAATGAATGAATATGTTATTTATTTATTTTTAAAAAATCTCTCATATTTTGCAATCTAACAATTTTGAGGCAACGTATGTCATCAGCAAACTGAGATCCCAGAATCAGTTTCCTAGGTAGTGTAAAAATACAAGACACAGTTTCTTGACATTTTGGCTATGATCTCATCACAGAGAACTACATATGTTTCCTTCTTTTTTCATATAATTAAAGTCTGCTATTCTTTTTTGATGTTTATTATGTTTTTCCATATCCCATTTCATGTCTTGGAAGTCTGCTGGCTATCATGATACTACAAAAAAAAATTGGTCAAATATGTGGTTAGACTTGATTTTGTTTTGTTTTTTCTCACATCACATCAAAAGATGGGCTCTGAAAAATGCATAGGCACATTTTGACAGGAGAGTGTCAATTTTTGTCTATATCTCAGATGTCTATATGGAGATCATCAGATAAGGTTAAGGCAGTATGTAATGCACAAATTAGCTAATTTTATTTAGATTGTTTTCTCCAAATATGACCTTGACATGGGAATAATCTGAGATGTGTGAATTGATGTCTCTCTTCTCTGTGAGACAACTTACCAAGCCTTAAACATTCACATGTCATTTTGACCTCCCAGATATTTTTGGCCTGCAACTTCCATAAGTTCTAGTCAGCATAACAAATAATAAGGCATAATGGGAGATATGTCAAAAACTCATCTACCGATACAGATGATTTATCACTTCAGGTCATTTATCAACAAGCTGAAAACCACCAGTCCCAATACAGATCTCTGACAGACTCTTCTGCTCCATCTCTTGGTTTGTTGTTATTAATTGCCTTTGCATCAGTCTCAATCCATGGCAACCCTATCGATGAGACATCTCCAGGGTCCCTTGTCCTCTATTTCTCTGCCCAGCTCCTGAAAACTCATATTCATGGTCTCTTTAATAAAGTCCATCCATCTAGCATGTAGCCTTCCTCTCTTTCTACTTCCCTACACCTTTCCTAACATTATTGTCTTTTCCAATGATTCATGCCTTCTCATGATGTCTCCAAATTACGACAGTCTCATGGGGGAAGCAGACAAGGGCCTCTGGGATGCCACGGGATCAGTGCTCCTTTCAGAAGTCAGTGAAAGTGTGCCCCAAAAGCATAGGGTGCACTTTCACTGACTTATTCGCCGCAGCGTGTGTGGACGCTGCAGCGGGAGGTTGCCCTCGGAGCGCTGGCCGTGCGGAGGGCCGGCTGCTCCGAGGGCTACCTCAGAAGGGGCACTGAGCATGCAGCTGCCCCTCCTCTTCCCTGCCTCGGGGATGGCTCTATTAGCCGTCTGCTGAGGCCCTAAGTCTTGTCATCTTGGCTTTTAGGGATATCTCTGGCTTGATCTGTTTTAGGATCCATTTGCTTGTCCTTTTGGCTGTCCTCAGTATTCTTCTTCAGCATTACATCTCAAATGCATTGATTTTCTTTCTATCTTCTTTCTTAACTGTCCAGCTTTCACACCCATACATGGTAATAGGGAATACAATAGCTTGTAAGTGTCTGACTTTTGTGCTGAGTTGTATGTCTTTGCATTTTAGAATCTTTTCTAGATCTTTCATAGCTGCCCTCCCCATTCTTAATCTTCTTCTGATTTCCTGGCTGCAGTCCCCATTCTAATCAATTATTATTATTATTATTATTATTATTATTATTATTATTATTATTACTACTACTATCCTGCCCCTCTGCAGCTCAATCGGGGCGGCTTACAACATTAAAACATCCATAATGCAGCAATTCCCTAACCTGCCCTCCCCTTAAAAAAGTATTAAACTAGTCAATTTTTAAAATAGAAATGCACTAAAAACCAAGTCAAACAAAAAGAAATGACACAGTGGGTTGAGTGGTGCGATGGCATCTGCGGAGGCTGGTAGCCAAATCATAGGCCTGGGATAACTAGTCAGGGAAAGCCTCTCAGAAAATGCTTGATAGGACATGCAGTCAGACTGGAAATGTAAAGATGTATGGGGCAGACATTTCCTGTGGGAAGAGTTCAGAAAAACAAGGGTTTGGCAGACAAACAACAGGTGCTAGACAATAACAAAGGAGCCAGCTCTAGTGTGTTTTGAGAACAAGGAACACTGTAATCAAAACACACTACGTAGACATATTATGTCACATGGACATAGATGACAGCAATATGGGTTGGGCTGGAGGCCTGGGAAAGTGGAACCCAACCAATCATCATGGATGTACACACCCCAGTGGGTGGTAGCTTGAGCAAACAATAATAATGCTTTGTCCATGTGGGAAGTTTAGAGAGAGGGAGGCTTGGAAGGTTTAAACGTGTTTCACAGGGTTAATGTGTTGCAGGATCTGTTTATGTAAATAATCAACTTATCTAAATATTCCTAGTTGTAGAATATTCTTAGTTGTTCTTAGACTACAACTGGTGTGTTTCCTGACTGCTGGTAAGGCTGGAGAGCTGAGGCAGTATCATCTAGATCCAGGAGAAGAAGTCTGGAATCAAGCAGGAAAAGATTGTCAGCTTTTCCTAACAACTCTGCTGTTTGGTAACTGCAACACACATCATCCATCATTCACGGACAAGGCCTGCCAAAAGAGATCCATTTTGATGGCTTTTTTAAAGCTATCTAGAGTGGTAATAAGATGGATCTCATCTGGCAGTTCATTCCATAATCTGAGAGCGACGGCAGAGAAAGCCCTCTGGGAGGTTGTCAACAGCCTAGTTTTCATAGGCTGTAGCAGGTCCTTCCCAGAGGACTGAAGTGTGCAGGGAGGCTCATATGGAAGGAGACAGTCTTGAAGATAAGATGGACCCAAGCCATGTAGGGCTTTAAAGGTCATAGCCAACACCTTGTACTGTGCCCAGAAACTAATAGGCAGCCAATGGAGAGATTTAAGCACAAGTGTTATGTGCTCTCTCCTAGAAGTACCAGTAACTAGCCTGGCTGCCA